CTCAGTCCCTCACCAGCACAGGGCCTTTGCACTGCCTTGATCTGCTCCCAGGGACATCTGGGACCCAGTGGTGTGCTAGTACCTGCTAAACAGGCTACCCTGCTCCAGTGTATGCACATGTGTGTGTACATAAGCTTACTGTACATGTTACAGATAGAAAAGGAGCAGCAACTTAAAAACATGCATAAAATATACAGTACTGTTGTAAATCCCACAGAGCCAGTTTTTATGGAATGATTTCACTGAATCTTGCTGAGCCCTACACCTGAAGCCAACACAGGGTTGCAGCTGATGAATGAGTGTGGTTCTGACAAGAATGCTGGGGAGGTTTTCACTGATGAGTCAGACAAAGGCGAAGCAGCAGGACCGATGTCAGAGCTTCACTCGTTCAGTGACTGAGTCACTTCTTTGCTTAAGTAGGTAACAGTTTCCAGAGGCTGTGAGACAGTTTCTTCAATTTTCTGTGCCATTCACAATGTAACAGCTACATTTTCAGTTTGATCTGCATCTTCCTCCATCACTTTCTAGGTCTAGAGACAATCACAACAGTGAATCAAACCGAGTCACGGTGTCTGTGGGTATCAGTGGTGTGAAAGCTCCCACCACAACCGACTCCAAGCTACTGATGTGAGTCCCCAAGCGCAGCCTAGGAGGGGTGTGCCCACCATTGCAGAGTATGTGCACGGTAAGAATACAGATTGTAGTAAAATGCAGCAAAAGGCAGGAAGTGACGAGTTTCGAGTATTTGTTACCTTTGTTTTTAATATAATTCTAAGTTTATAAAATGTAACTTTAAGTAACAGCTGTGTTCACCTACTGGCAGGCCAGGTTCCTAGCACTGCAGCCTCTGGCAGTGGCACGCCAACACCTGGTCCAGTGCTCCGGGCTCGCCAGGCCCCTCTGGCTGACCATCTGCCTTGCAAGCCTTCTCCGTGAGGCCACCCTGATCCCAGTACTTACCACTGCAGCCCGCCCCACTGCACTATCCTCACCTGCTTTTTTTTTCTTCCCAGGCACCATTCCCTGACACTGGCATCTGGTGTGTTATTTGTTTTCCTGCAGAGGAGCAGCTATGTGGGGGAGTCTGTGTTGTGTTCACCAACCTGTTCCAAGCACCTGGAACAGTGCATTCCGGGTTGGCCTTCATTACGCATGTACTGAATAAAAGCTCAAGAACCTCAACATTTACAGTCAGGCTCTACGAGATTCACTATAGAGTATCTCGTAAAAAGCAAAACTTTCATCTTACTTGGTCAAATTCGGGACATTTCCCCAATTCCATGATAGAATAATGAGTCCGAGTATTCCATCCGGTGTGGCCCCCGAGGCAGCTCCCGAAGAATCGCTGTTCAAAGGATTTACTCATCAGGGAGAGGGTTCCCTTCGTTCTTTTCTCTGAAGCTTGTTTTTGCTGCAACATATTTTAACGTTTTTATTGTGGGAAAATGAAATAGTTTCAAAATTGATGCAAATGAGAAAATCAAGTTATCTGTCTGTAATAGTGCTGTTTTTATTATTTGTATGGTGCTTTTGACTTTTCAAAATATTTTCCTAAATTGTTCATTTAATTGTAGAAACAGGAGACAAATAGATATGCTTTTTAAAAAGGAACACAAAATCAAAACCATCCCAAATTCCATGTTCAAAGACCACGGCCAGACTCCCTCCTTAGCCAGCCTGGCCCACCTGTGCTTGTACAGTACATGAAGCATATATACACTGTCACAGCCACGACACAGAAATGCCGCTTAGCTGCCAACTTTCCACTTACTTTATTGTCACTGTCCTTCCAGTGTTATAACTAGAAATACCATAGTTCTATAGTGGCACTTAGCACCTGCTTTTTTTCACTGCACCCCAGCACCCGTGTCACCGTTGCCTCTTGTTGAGTGTGTAGGTTCTTCCTGTGTTCTATCTGCAAGTAACGTGAGGGTAACGAGTAACATGGGCATGTGTCGTCATCCATTTTATATGCAGGATGAGAGCGGGGCAGCTGCATACTTTTCCTCTACACCACCTTATATATAGGAGAGGTGCCAACATGCTCTCCAGGAAGACGGTGAGGAAGTCAACAATCTAACAGGGGTGGGGACTGAGGGGAGACTGTCCCAAGTTGGGGAAATGCAAGTAGCACTGGTGCAAGCACAGCAGGTGCAAGCACAGCAGGTGCAAGACGAGGTGAAGTCAGTGCTGCAGCTGTTGGGCAGGACTCAGCCACCTTTTCAGGTTATGCACGTGGGCATCCATCCCCAGGCCTGCTAGTGGAGCTGAAGGCAGACATAATTTGAAAGGAAAAGAAAGTCTCAGCAACACCAGAGGAGTGAAACATTTTCTTTTTATTGAGAACATCTCAAATCCTTTGTCTGTATTTGACAGCGTCTCATGCTCAGTTCCGGCTGGTCTCGGTGCGAGAGGAAGCTCATGCAGTTGTAACGTGTGGTGTATACACAGATTTACATACAGAGAACACTGAGGATTGCATCTTAGCAACACGTTTCTTGGCCGAATTACATTCATAGAAAGTGTCCAGATTCTGAAATCAAATTAAAAGCATGTAACCCAAAGCCTGAAAAAGCAAACAGCTTTAGGGGCTGACTCCATTAGCGTTCCATAGACTGTGCTTTTAACCGTTCAGTTCATGTTTAATGGCCCATCAGTTCCTTACACACCATTAGCTTATGCTGTGGCCAAAAGAAGTGTTCTTGAGGCTTGGTACTCGTCCCTTCAGACAGTAAACAAGAAAGTGCAGACGGTGCTGCCAGAGACAGGAGGATTTTCACACGAGACTGAAAAAGCCAACACACCCTTACAACTAAAAGTCATGGTCGAGTCGGACCTGCCATCCACCTCCACCGGTCCCTGGCACCCGGTGGGTAAGAGGTTTCTCTAATTCTATTCCCTGGCATCAGCTGAACACTAGAACTCACATGGAAGGCCCCGAGCAACCCACCGGCCTTGAGGCTGGGTGCACCCACTCCTCACCCAGGGAGATTGTCACAAAACACGCTAAGGGGCAGAGACGCTGTAAACTGGACACACACGGAACACAATGCCCTCTCCACTTACACAGTGTGGGGCTGATAAAAAGGAATCTTTTGAGCGACTCTATAATTTTACAGAATTTAGAGGTGGGAAAGATGGCCAGTTTTCCTTCTCTACGCCTGGGGCAGACCACCTGCTTCTGGGGTAAAGTATTTGAGAAGGAAAAAGAGCCACTGTGCATGTGTTTGTTTTGAGACACGGGCAGATCCGGATGTGCCCTCTCCACAGCTTCGCTAATCCCATCCTCAGATCTCCGCACAATGTGAAGACAGAGCCATCCCCTCCTCAATGTACCTGTGTGAGATTACAAGGAGAGGCACTGTCTTCACGAAGAAAGCGGCGATTCCACAGCCCGGAGATATATAGTTATTTGAATAAAAATAAATTCGGCAGAAATCCATGCCTTGTGAGATACTGGCTTGCGCATTTTAAAATAATTGCTTTTAATTACAAAAATTTCTCAAAAATAGGAAAAGATGATGAAAAGTTTAAATTAAGACTCAGAATCAAAACTGCAGTTCTTTGGCGTCCCTTGCTGGGAAGAGGTGGGCCTGGCCTGTGACCAGGTGATGAGAGCTGAGGAAGGTGGTGAGGACATCCATCTGGACCTGTCGCTGCCTCGTGGCACAGAACACACCGCCCCACCTGAGACCTCCCACTAGCAGGACTCTGTCCCTGGCAGAGCTGTACCTGAGTGGTCCTGAGGGACAGTGTCTTTGTGGAATTAATACTTCAGGTTTAGCTAACAAAACAAAACAAAACAGAAGCCCTCTCTTCCCCTATTTGTCAAAATGTCCTCAAAATGTAAGATTTTCCTTAAAAAATCAAGTTCTTGCTTGTGTCGAATTTTCTAAGTCTCTAAAACCCACATCAAGGACACTGGATGCAAAATGACACGTCAATGAAACAGCTATAGTCTAATGCACACCGAGCGCTCAGAAGGGAGGGATTAAAGTGCTAAGTTCCCTGATCTGTCTCAGGGAGGAGTCAGCATTCTGTATTATTATTTTTTTCTGATTACAGATGAGCTGTCATAGGAGCAGTGCAGAGCCTCTGGTCCCCTGCACATCATCTTCCTCCCCGCAGCCGTCCCGCCCAGGGCTCCCCGAACCCAGTTCCTCCCCACAGCCGCCCCGCCCAGGGCTCCCCAAACCCAACTCCTCCCCGCAGCCGCCCCACCCTGCCCAGGGCTCCCTGAACCCAGTTCCTCCCCGCAGCCGCCCCACTCCGCCCAGGGCTCCCCGAACCCAGTTCCTCCCCGCAGCCGCCCCACCCTGCCCAGGGCTCCCCGAACCCAACTCCTCCCCACAGCCACCCCACCCCGCCCAGGGCTCCCCGAACCCAGTCCCTCCACACAGCCGCCCTGCCCAGGGCTCCCCGAACCCAACACCTCCCCACAGCTGCCCCCCAACCCCGCCCAGGGCTCCCCGAACCCAGTTCCTCCACACAGCCGCCCCGCCCAGGGCTCCCCGAACCCAACTCCTACCCACAGCCACGCCGCCCAGGGCTCCCCGAACCCAGTCCCTCCACACCGCCCCGCCCAGGGCTCCCCGAACCCAACACCTCCCCACAGCCGCCCCCCCACCCCGCCCAGGGGTCCCCGAACCCAGTTCCTCCCCACAGCCGCCCCCCACCTCCCGCCCAGGGCTCCCCGAACCCAACTCTTCCCCGCAGCCGCCCTGCCTGGGGCTCCCTGAACCCCTCGGCTGCCTTCCTCCTGTCTGGATGGCTTGGGGCGGGACGCCCTGTGCCTGCCCTCAAGGCTGCACGAGTCCACCCCGGAAAGGAGCCACCTCACACGGTCTCAGGGCAGCTGCTCAGGCCCACAGGGTGAGGCACTCACTCACTTGGCGTGGTACAGGGAGCAATCATGCTTACTTTAGCTATTACCTGACAGAAGGGAAAAGCCAGACATACCGGGTAGTTTTGTATGTATATGGAACATATTAACACTAAACTTGGTAACCAAAATCCACATATTTTTAAAAACTTAGTCCATCTCCCAATCCCCATTAGAAAAAAATACAATTTATCAAGACAAGAATAAAAATGCACAGACTTACAAGGTGTTTTTTCTAGAGTGTGCAAGAGCCTACTTGGGGGAAGGCCAGCGGCAACAGACACCTCTCCCTCTGCAGGTGCAGAACCCCAGCACCGTCTGCCCAAACAAGACCCCACTGTGGTGACAGAGCGGCTGAGACGCCCACTCTGACTGCTTCAGGGAGACAACTACCCTCTTCGGTAGAGGAGAAGGCTGGTGTGGGGCAGATGTTCTAGCCTCTGAACCTGGTCACGTCCCCAACGATGAGCCCTAAGCAGCACCTCTTCCTGCCACGCTGGGACGAGATCTGTGTGGACACACGTGGATAGGGCTCCCGACATCAGGAGGCACACCCCCCACCAAAGCCACAGTGCTTCAGGTTTTGGGTCTGAGCGCCCAGCGTCCGGTGGGAGCATGATGCCCTTCTGCCCCTGTTCTGGTTTCCTAGGCCCATCACAGACATACAGGTGCCAACACCCTGGATTTCACTGTGGCAGGTGTGTGCTGTAGGGTAGTCTGCACCAATCTCTGCCCATGGCCCCAGGAGACCCACCTGAGCACCGTCCAGAGCCTTGGAGCTGGGCACTGCACTGGCGAGCAGAGCACTTCTCTCGGCTCCTCTTTCATCCTGAGCGGAGGCAACAAGGCACCGGGTGCAAATCTCTGAGCTCGGTGGAGGTGGTCCACACAGGGCCCTGGCCCGCCACGCTCCTGACCTCCTGGGCTGGCTCCCTCTCTCGTGGGGCTGTCCCGTGCACTCTGGGTGCTGGGCAGCCCTGAGCTCCTCTGTCGGGACCGTCAATATCTGGTCTACACTATACCAGCAGCACGTGGTCACACCAGCTCTCACTCGGATGCTTTTTATTTTTCAAACATGTCTTTGATAAAGCTGGAAACAATAATTTAAAAACATGCCTGCTATGTCATTTTCCAAGAATGATTATCTACTGAAAGCATTCTACTTCCATTCTGTGAAGGCCTTTGGACAGTCATCCACATCCATTCAATTCGGAGGAAGGAACAGAGGGAACTTAGGCCATGTATTGTGCAGTAGCCCTCCTGATTCCTTCTAGTCCATAAAAGTTAAATATCCTTTAAAAAACCTGAATGAATGGCCAGCCTGGGGTTACTGGCCATGTTTTATCTGTGATTACTTAGAAGTAAACTGAGAAAAGTTTTCCATGATCTGATCCTACAAGGAGTACAGAAGCTTCTAGAGGAGGCTGAGGGCTACAGGGGCCTGGGTCACGACTCTGCAGGACACACAGTCACCACTGCGGGGCCCCGTGTGTGTGACAAGGCCACGCTACCTCATGCTGGGAGTCTGCTCCTCAGGGAGACTGTTAAAACCTAGTGTGTCAAACTACCCAGGGAAGTACCTATGGAGAAAAGAGACCTAAGTTTAGACAGACGTGTGGCGATTTCCTTTAGACTACTACTTCCTACCTCTATTTTCCCACCCTCCTCCATATATAGATGCTTTTCTTGCAATTAAAATAATGTGGCATAAAAGTGACCTGACATAATTACTTATTTTATAAACCACATTCCTAGCTCTGAATAAATTATTTATTCAAGAATTTCACACAAAGTAATTTCTATTTTCCTAAACTTAAGGAAGCCCTACTCAGTAGAACTCAATTTCTAAACGTAAACCGAGATTGAAAGCAGTCACTGAACGGTTCAGAAGGGGAAATGCTGCGGCAGAGAGATGCCAGGCGGCGATGCTGGGCCCCGACACACCCCATCCCCTCCCCACACTGCGCATCTGCCCCAGGTCTGATGTGAGATGCTGGGGACAACCGTGGACACCTAGTGGTCCCCTGTGTCCCCCAACTCCTTCCCCAAGGTATGCACCTGCCCCCAGTTCAGATGTGAGGTTCTGGAGGACGACGCTGGATGCCCACAGCCCCCTGCACCCCCCATCATGTCTGCCCGGGTCAGGGCGTGAGTGAGAACTGGTCCTGCTCAGTGGGCTTCTCCACCCAGGCCCCCAGCCCCGCCTTGATGAAGGCTGTGAACAGACGCGCCTTGGCGGCCTGGTACTCCTTTGCCGCCAGCTTGGACTCATGGTACATGTTGGGCTTGGTAATCTTGGAGCGTAGTAAGTGGGAGGGAACCTGTGAAGGGATAGAAAACAAATGCAACTGTTGACGCTGTAACAGATGAAAGTAACACCTAATAAGATGCCAAAACATGGCCTTTAGAACTGCATTGGCTTCTGGGGTGAAGCAACCCAGAGGAAGGCGCCTTCTGCCAAGGGCACGGCTCCACACAGAACAAGGTGCCACACCTCCTGAGGCCTGAGTTATCGCCCAGTTCCAGTCTTGCTAGTCAAACAGGCAGCTACAGACCCCCGAGTTCTGAAGACGTGCTTCTGGGAAACCACCAATAGCTGATTCAAGTTTCATTTTTAACTATAAGAAGCACCACTGATGTTACATGTGTGTTATCACCCTGACGACCTCGGAGGCCTTCCCTCGTGTGACCGGTAGCTCCTTTCTGTGTGGACTGTGGCCTTGCGGCAGGTGGCCTGGGTGCTGCCCCTGTGTGAACAGGACCCTCCTGGGCACTGTCACTTCTGGCTATACCTCCCATGCCAGTGCACAATGCTGGTCTCAGAATAAATAGATGCTATCTACTTGATTGAAGAATAAATACAAACTAGTAATATCCTGACTTACTATATAAGGTTTCATTCTGGGGAAAAAAGGGCCCCACAGCTAATTCAAAAGGTTTAAAAACTCTCATGGAGGGTTATCAGAATCCAGGCAATTTTTGTGTTGCTGAGAAGGAGGGGACAGCAGGGAGACTGGCATAATGACTTTCAATATCTGAGAGTAAGACATGTTTCCACCACACACAGTGGCCTGGCAGTGGGTGTTACTGCAGAAGGGTGGAAAAGAGCTGCCTTTGAGATGGCATTAAGGTTTCAGGGACATGGCCACACTTCTAAGCTAAAACAATCTGAAGGAACAAAAGGTTTCCAAATGATCGATTTAGGAAGCTGTGCATGATGACATGATGAAACAATTTAAGGAGCAGTAGGTGTGAGGACAGACAAGCTATTAGGGAGGTGGAGCCGGCGCATCACGGTGAGGGCGCCTCAGTACCTTGCCGTGCACACGCATCCAGCGACAGTACAACGCGTGCTTACACAGGCGGGACGCGCGGCCCAGCTCATCCTTCCCCGTCGTGGCGTTGATGACCTCAATAGCGGAGTCGCCTACCGTCCAGTTGACGCTGAAGTTGGGGGCCTTCCCTGGCTGCCGTGCTTCTGCATTGCTGATGCCTGAAACGGAAGGCACAGGAAGGCGGTGTGAAGCCCGCATTCACCCCCAGGGAAGGAGCAGCCAGGGGCGGCACACTGTGCTCAGACATGGCCACAGAAGTGCGTGGTGGAGGAATTCTGCCTGCTGAGGAACATACGCAGACTTGAGTGTGCATCTGCCATGGCAGTGGCCTCACACTCTTCCACTGCCACCAGAACAGAAGCAGTGCTGAGAAAGCCGAACTGACCCATGGGTATGCACTTGTCTGACAGGGCAGGTGGGCAGAAGGTTGACAGAAACCTGGAATCATGAGACTTCCTGACAAGTGTGTCTTTTCTCACTCTGGTGCTGCCTGAGAGTGGATGGATGGAGCCACTTCTGAGACTAATGCAGGTTCCTACGAGGTCGTGCATGTGGGGGATGCTCCTGTGTCACCCACCTCTGGCACTCATGCCTGCACATGCTCCCCTGCCACTGAGAGGCCAGGCATGTTCAGGTCACGTGGCTTTGCATGTGTGACATCCATGATGCAATAGGAAACCCTAATTCTTAACAAGTGTCTTGAAATGGTTCACAAGAGTCTTGAAAAAGTTCATAGAAAATGCGTATTATGAAAAAACTTCACGGATTTCAAAATTGTTTGGCACCAAAATAAACTTGTACTAACTTGCTGAAATGTGTCTGAATAGGATCTAGTTTGAGGCACTAAGAAGATGAAGACATCTGTTTGAAAAGAGCTCCTATCAGAGTTACATGACTTCGGCTAAAACTGAAGCAAGAACAAACATCAAACAGGAGATAAAAATAGCTTTTACAAAGACAATCCTGAAGAAAATGCATAATCCCCCCTCAAAAAAGGCTACCAAGAGGTGGAAGGGGCCCCGTCAGGGCACAGGCTGACTGGCCAAAGCACAGGCCATGGCAGCATTTTTGGGATGCTCAAGGCGTTTTGCTTGTCGGGTTCACATGGAGGCCAAAGGACGACAACATGTGCTTGTGATGACAGTGTTTCGAGAAAGTGAGCCAAAGCTTTAGCAGAAAAACCCCTGGGGAAGCTTCGCCAGAGACCATCACGACAAAGCGCCTGTCCATTCCTCTCATCAAGCAAGGGCGACTGTGTGAGGGTTTCGACAGGAAATCATGAGCCATCCACTTTGTGGTGGTTGCAAATCCACCTCATTTGGCTCCTTCTGACTTCTTTTTGTTTCCTAATCTCAAAAATTCCTTAATTTTAGGAATTAAGGAATTAAGGAATGTAGGGCACCCTTTAGGGTACCCCTTGAGGAATTTTTCTTCAGTTAATAATGTAAGAAAGTCTGCATTGACATGGTTAAATTCTCAGGACACTCAGCTCTGTTTTCCTTTTTGAGAGGGGGTCTCACTCTTGTCACCAGGCTGGAGCGCAGTGGTGCAATCTCGGCTCACTGCAACCTCCGCCTCCTGGGTTCGAGAGATTCTCCTGCCCCTATCTCCCAAGTAGCTGGGACTACAGGCACATGCCACCGTACCCAGCTAGTTTTTGTATTTTTAGTAGAGATGGGGTTTCACCATGTTGGCCAGGATGGTCCTGACCTCATGATCCTCCCACCTCGGCCTCCCAAAGTGTTGGGATTACAGGCATGAGCCACCGCGCCCAGCCACCATTTAGTTCTTTAGGGACAATCTAAATGGTTAGGATCAGCGCTTACAAAAATGTCTGGAATTTGATAGAGCTTATGTTGAGAAATAAAGTTTATATCTTTTAAAAAATTTTTATCTTTTAACTTTATGAACTTTTTGAAGTACCCTTGTACTTGTTTTCTTGCTGTGTTTAAACTGTCTCATCTTAACTAATCACAGGCTAATTTTGCAGGGTTGAAAGTTTTTGAAAAGATACTTGTATAACTGGGAATTGAATACATGTATCTCCATTTATATATTGAGCTTGATAATTCATATCACATGGATGTCACAGGCCACCAAAATCAAAACTAGTTTAGGATATGAATCTTTAGAACATGCTTAGAACATGGGCGGACTCATATTCTGAACCCAGACACTGAACTGTCAAGCCCACTGGCCAGAAGCAGCACACTGCACTCTCAGATGACTCAGTACAACTCACTTCATGTCCTGTGGAGGCCACCTCCACCCCGTCACCATGCTCACTTGCTTTCAATGACCATTTATCCCTGCCTTGGAGAGATATTAAAATCCAGATGACAGTTTACTGCCAGAACAGTTTACTGTTCAGAGTAAGGAACCGGCAGAGTGTAGCAGATCCGCTGAACTGAGAGTCAAGGGAAACCAAGTCAGCCAGATTTCATAAGACAGAGCACCAGAAGGAAGAGACAAGCAGAGAAAGAGTGAGCCCTGGAGATACGCAGAGGGTGTCCTTGAATATCCTGTGGATCTCTGATCAGAGTATGCATGTTACTCAAGGCTGGGAAACAGCCTCCTGAGAGAATCAGAGGAAAAAGTGCCTGACATTCACATACAGAAGATACAGACATAAAGATATAAAAAGGCCTAAGCCAAACTTCTAGAGATGAAAACTACAATGTATTAGATAAAAAATACACTTGATGGGACTAACCACAGAATAGAAACCGCAGAAGAAAAGATTAGTGAACTTAAAGACACAGTAACAGAAACTATCAAAAATGAAACACAAAGAGAGAAAAGAGAGAAAAAAAGAAGAGAAAATCAGTGATATGGGGCAGGTTTAGGTAGGGTGAAATATGCGTAATTAGATTTCATGAAGGTGAGGAGGGAGAAGGGGGAACAGAAAATATATCTGAAGAAAGATGAATAAAAAACTTCCAAATTTCATGAAACCAACAAACCCATGGATTAAAGAATTTCAATGAATCCCAAGCACAAGAAACATGAATACAACTATACCAAAGCACAACGGAACAAATTGTTCAACACCAGTATTAAGAGAAAATCTTAAGCAAACCCAGAGAAAAACACACACAGAGGAATAAAGATAACAACACATTTCTTACTGGAAACAATGCAAACAAGAAGTTAGGGAAGCACTGTCTTTAAAGTACTTAAAGGAGAAAAGGACCCTGCCATTCCAGCAGAAATATATTTGTACAGCAAAATATCCTTCAAAATGAAAGCAAAATACTTTCCCAGACATACCAAAGCTGAAGTAATTCATCACCATCAGACTTGTGCTACAAGGAATGTAAAAGGAAGTCCTCCAGCCAGAAGAAAAAATGATACCAAAATGGAAATCCAGATCTATATAAAGGAATGAAGAGCCCTGGAAATGATAGCTATGTGGATACATATACAAGGGGTTTTTTCCTTATTATTTAAATTCCTTTAAAAGATAATTATTAAGATGAAAATAATAATAATGTAATGTGGATTTTTTTAAACATATGCAAAAGTGTCTGAAAACAATACCACAAAGGTTGGGAATGGAAAAACGGAAGTATCCTGTTGTAAGGTTCTTTTACTATATGTGAAGTAGTATAATCTCACTTGAAGGTAGACTGTGGTAAGTTAAGAATGCATCCTATAAGCCCTAAAACAACCACCAAATTAACAAAAGTTATAGCTCAAAAGTCAAGAAGGAGTCAAAATGGAATCATCAAACATACACAGTTAAGGCAAAAGCAGTAAGAAAATGAGGAAAAAGTGAACAAAGAACATACGAAACACACAGAAAATAAGTAGCAAGATGAAATGTAAACCTAATAATATAAATAATCACAATAAATGTAAATGCTTCAAGTACCTCAGTGAAAAGGCAGAGGTTGTCCATGGTGGGAGAGAGAAGCAAGATCCAAATATATAACTATATAAAAAAATATGCCTATAAGAAACATATTTTTAATATAAAGTACTTTAAAGGGATGGAAGATACACTGTGCTAACACTAATCAAAAGAAAGTCGAAGAGGTTATATTAATCTCAAAGCAAATTTCAGAACAAATACTGTTACCAGAAATAAAAAGGGTCATCGTATAATCGTAAAGGAGGTCAGTTTATTAAGAGAAATCAACAATCCTAAATTTTTATGCATCTAATCACAGAGCTACAAAATACAGGAAGTAAAAACTCTAAAAAAGGGGAAGAAATAAACAATGTATAATTATAACTAAGAGATTTTTCAATCTTGCCTCTCAATAACTGATAGACCAAGTAGAAGATTGACAAGAATATAAAAGAAAATAAATAATATAATCAAACAACTTAGCCTAATTAACATTTATAGATCACTCTACCCCAAAGTGGCAGATTCACATTCTTTCAAGTTTTGTGGAACACTTACAAAGATAGATCATATTCTGGTCCATAAAACCAAATCTAAACAAATTTCAAAGGACTGAAGTCATTAAATGAAACTAAAAAACCAACAACAGAAAGATCTCTGTAAAATCCCTAGTATTTTGAAACTAAATAGCAGACTTCTAAATAACCCAAGGGACAAAGTATTTCAATATAAGTGAAAATGAAAACATATCATAATTTTTAAATGCTACAAAAGCAGTAAAAAGGGTCTTCAAACAATGACTTCAGCTAGCACCTTAAAAAACTACAAAAAGATGGGCAATTGAAACACCACGTAAGCAGAAAAAAAAGAAATAATTAAAATCAGAGGAAAAATTATTGAAATATAAAACAAAAGACAAAAATCACTGAACCTAAAAGTTGGCACTGAGAGATGATAAACAGAATTGATAAACTTCTAGCTAGACTGATCCGAAAAAAGACGAGAAGATACAAATCATCAATATAAGGGATAAGACGATATCATTAGAGATATCACAAATATTAAAAGGAATATTCTGAATACTTTACTGCCAATATATTAGACAAATTAGATGAAATGGACAAATTCCCTGAAAGACAAATTACTGAGGCTTACTCAAGAAAAAAGATAAAAACAGATAACATGAATAGCCCTAAATCTATTATAGAAAAATAAATTGTAGTTAGCTATTTTCTCACAAAGCAAACTTCAGGCCCAATGGCTTCGCTGGTGAATTTTACCATATATTTAAGGAAATAATACCAA